ACCAAAACAAACCAAACCCCCCCAAACAACACAAAACAACAACAAACAAACAAAACCAAACAAACAAAAAACCAAAAAGACCCTTTTTGCTTCAGTCTGTGTTTAACTTATTTTTTTTCCCCCTCTTCCCTTTTAGGCACAATGTGTCAAATGACTTCGAAATAAATATAGAAGTTTACAGTTTGGTATGTATCAGTTCCTGTCAAGAGGATGTGTAAGGGAGAATGATGTGTGTACTTTAATACCTTCTTGCCTTACAGGTGCAGAGAAAAGAAGTTACAAGCACTGATAAAAGGAAAAAGGCAAATAAATCTAAGGTAAATGAAACATGAAAATCAGTTTGTTGCATTCAACAAAAGACTGCAGTGTTCAGGGAGAACTGACTAATAGTCTTAGACAATCTGTTGCTTGCTTTTACTCTTCTTTTTCTTTCTTGGAATATCTGCAATAACAGATGGGTTATGGAGTCCTGCAGCTATTAGTAGATTGGACCTGGAGCACTTGGTTGAGTCTGAAATGTATTGGAGGGGAGGAGAAGAACTCTTACTAGTTCTGCAAAATGCTGTACTTTGCGAACTTTTATTTATTAGGTGTGGTGCCTCTGATAGTGATTTAGTGCCCTTATTCTCCACTTTACTTACACCAGTCAATATGCCCTACCCTGCAGTTTGATTTGTCTTAAAGTTTCTATTGATCAGCTGCAACACTTTTCTTTCTTCCCAATGTTAAGTAAAAGCACTAGATGCATATTTTTTAAAGCAAACGTTGTTGTAATAACTCCTTGGATGTAAACATTTCAGCTTGGATAGGGTGCACATTTCAAGTGTTTGTGCTTTATTAAGACTTTGTGACCCCAAAGAAGCCAGTGGCTTTCTGGAGGCAGGTGGTTTTGGTTTGGTTTTTGGTTGTGTTGTTTTTTTTTTTTCTTCTTGTCATTCCAATAGCTGGCATACAGTGTATTAATGATTTTAGGTCTGATTTCCTTCTTGTCAGAGTATCTGTCACAAAAGAAAAACAAGAAACTTGGGTGTCTTTCAAAACAGTTGGAATGACTACTTAAATCCTGTCTCTGCAAACAGAAATAGGAACTTTCTTTAATCTGTACTTTCATTTGGGACAGTGAAAGCATGCTTCCACCTATCCCCCAATAAAACCAGTTTGAAGTGCAGGGTTTCTTTCTCTCCTGTGCTGTAGTTTAGAGGAATCTTTATATAAAACTGAATGTTTTTGTGGCACTATTTAATATACAGTCTCACTCAAACTTTGAGATTTTCACCTGAAAATATACATAAAGTACAACAGTAGCACATTGAACATCTCTGTACTTGTATTGTTAAGTCTTACCTTTAATAAGCAAATGTAACTTTGCAGCCCTCTCACATGAAGCAAAAAGGTCTACTAAGATTGTTTTTTTTCAGATGCATACTGTCCATCCCAAGCTAATGCATACTTAAACTTTCCTGCAGTAAATATTTCTTTGATAGCATTCTTTCCCCTGAAATATGTTACATTCAGTCAAAAAACAAGACTTTCTCATTACTTTCAAAATATATTTAGATAAGCCTTCAGTAGTTTCACTGTCTAATTTTCATGCTAATGTGATGGACAAATTCAGTAGCAAATGCATTAATCTTTTATTCTTTTGCAGGTTATTACTCCGAAAAGATTATTAACATCTATTACCTCTGTAAGTATGAATGTAATATTATAACAAGATATGGTTATGACCACTTCCACAGGCCATATTCTCACACTGAATAAGGCTGTGCCCATAGTAGGCTCTTTTATGTCCCGTACTTGAAACTCTATAAACTGTCCAGCTTTCTGCCAAATTCTTCGGCCATCAGCTCAAGAAACAGGTAATAGCTCTAAATATGTAATGCTGGAAATATGCAGTTACTACACATTTATTTGGAGTTTCTTTTCAAGTTGTTTTTGTTTGTTTTTTTAAAGTACTTCAGATCTAGTTTCTTTATAACCTAGCTTAGTCTTCTGTAGAAATTGTCAGAAATTACTTTTCCACTAAGCTTTTATTTCTCTCTCTTTCTAGAAGAGCACCCTTCTTACTCCAGGTAAGTAAAATCTAAACATCTTATGCCGAGATGAATAATCTACACTTGTTGTCTAAAGCAGTATAGCAGTAAATAATACTTGTAAGAGATGATAATTTGGGAGTAATAAACACAGAATTATGTCAGTTTGCCAGCCCAGAAACTGGCCCTGTGTTTATATTTGAGTTACCATTATGTTTAATGGAAGATCTTGCCACAAAATCAAAATTAGTATCTGGTATCGGATGCCTGTGGTTTACATTCTTTTCCTGATAATGTGAACTCAAACGAATTTTAAGATTTTAAACTAGAGTCTGTTGTCAACAAAGTAATACAGAGCAAACTTGAAAATATGAACAGATTCTGAAGTATTGCTTGTATGTAGTGTTTTTAACATGTTTATATATTTCTGACTCGGGGGAGAACAACAGCATCTCTGAGTGTTTTTCTAACAACATAAAAATGTGTTATACACTTGTCTGACTACAGTATGAGATACTTGAGCTAGCTTTAGTACAAATTGCAGCAACAAGGAGCTCATGAACTAACTCTGGAATGTCTACCATGCTGCTGCAACTAGTCAGATTCCTGTGCCTGAGCTATAGTGCTTGTTTCTATTGATAAAAGTGCAAAGAGGAATATAGGCATACAAATTCTTGAAGACTGAAGCGTGTCACTGGAGAAGAGGTTAAGAGATCTGAAAGTAAGTTCCTACTGCAGGGCATGTGTGCTTTGTAGTGTGCCCTAGAGTGCTCTCTGTCCCCCTGAGACTTCTTAGAATCATAGAATCATTAAGGTTGGAAAAGACCTCTAAGATCATCGAGTCCAACTGTCAACCCAACACTACCATGCCCACTAAACCATGCCCCTAAGTGCCTCATCTACACGTCTTTTAAATACTTCCAGGGATGGTGACTCCACCACTTCCCTGGGCAGCCTGTTCTAAGGCCTGACCACTCTTTCAGTAAAGAAGTTTTTCCTAATGTCCAATCTAAACTTCGCTTGGCGCAACTTGAGGCCATTTCCTCTCGTCCTAAAAATGCTTTGTCTTCTCCTTTGTGAATATTTCAAAACTTCTTTCTGAAATAAAAGATCTACTGACGAGGAATGGTGTGCACCAAGATCCTGTCTGAATGTGCTGCTGGGCTGCACTGCAAAGAGTGCTTCTTCTGGAGTACTGAGTAGGGCATGCATCCAGTAGTATAAATAAAGCCTTTTTAAGCCTTGCAGCATCCTGATCCTGTTGTGTTGTGTTATAACTTGACTTTAACTTTTTTCTCTACAGCCATGGCCAGTCCAGGTGGCCCTAATGCTGTACGCACTACTAATTTCATCCTTGTTGGATCCCACAAGCTATCGCTGTCTTCTGTAGGAAATGCCAAATTTGCATTGGACAAGGTAATCAAAATTATTGGTTACTAATCCAAAGGTAACTGCATGCCACTAGAAAAATGAATATGAGTCTGGGTTTACTGTTTTCAGGCAAAATTACCATCCTAGAAATTAAACATACAGGCTTATATATGTTATTTTTATATATACATATAAAATTTATGTATAGTTGTTGTTACTTGTAGTTAATTTCATATGACTGAAATGTAATTTTGAGATACAACAGAAGAAGACTTAATTATTATGCTAGATGTTCTTTCTTTTCTGTAGGTCAATGTAAGGTATGACTATGCAAAGATAATGAAGGCATTTGGTTACTGATTTGCTTTCACTGACAAAAAATTGATGTCTGCAGTTGGCATCTCTGTAGGTGGTCTTCATGTTGTTCATTGCTCTTACAATTCTAAGAGTCTTGCAGTTATCACTAAATAAGACATTAAGTGTGTTTTAATGATAATGAAGTATTTGAAATTTTCTACATTTAATTGACTTAAAAATTGCTGTTTTGAATATAGTTAGGAGTATGAGTTTCCTTTCATATCCCAATTAAATTTGTAGAAGCAAACTATCTTAATATTTTTTGAAAGAGAGCTATTATTGAGTTTTATACCATTAGTTCCTTATCTAAACAGAATATGTTTATTGGCTCTTACCATTAGAAGTTAAAAAATACATTCTTACATTCATTGTAATCTCTAACCTCGTAATACCTTATACCTAAAACCTATTTTAATAGGTGTTTATGCCAGCAGCTATCCAAAGCTAACTTAAATTAATTCAAAAGTTACTACAGCTTATGGTAGTACTAAATTACAGCTTTATCTATCCAAACAGCAGCATAAGAATAAATTTTCTTCTTGGCTAATTAAGTCTTATTGTGATGATAGTAGTATTGCAATTATAGCTTCTGATGAGAGATAACAAGAATTGGTTGTGTTTGTGCACAAGATTAAAAACAAAATATCGCAATAATCCTAACTTGCTTTTTAGAAGCTTTACTTTTTGTGGATAGAAGCACACTCCTTTACTGAAACAGTTTGCAGAACTTAACAGTTGAATTGCTCTGCTGTTACTGACTGTGTGAACTTCAGCAGTACCAGCTTTGGTTCTTCAGCATAAATGTTCCTCTTAACCAGAACTGCATGTAGAAATCTTATCTTGTGTATGGATTGGTTATTGGAAACCCCTTGTTCCTGGAGTTACGAGAATCAGCTTTTACATTGTATTCAGGAATTTGGGTCTGAACTTTTTTAGTTTACTGTTTAGGACAGGACACTGGGCTGGACTAGTAAACTGTAGTAAAAGCACAAGGTTCAAATAGAATTCCAGGGAAACTATCACATGGCTAATTTTTTCCAGGTACAAACTTCAACAGTTATGAATAAGAATTCTCCTGTCAGCTAACTTTTTTTTGTTAAATCATCATCTCTGTAAAGCTTCAGTTTTGACTTGGCCTGTGACTGTACCAAACAGCTGCTTTTTAACTTGCTCCATGCATTTCTAATATGTGCTGCTGCCACAGTGGGTTTTTTGAGTTTTATTCCTCCCTTTTATATGCACTGTTAAAATTCAGGGTAGAAAGGACTAAAATGTACTCATGTATAACTATGTCCTTTTTTTATAAACCTTAACTTTACACTAATTGCATTGAGCATGTTTCTTTTTTCCCTAGATAAATTTTGAAGGGGAGGAAAAAGAACTGTTGGGCTATATGTTCCAGGACAAGGTTGCTATGATCCTTTAGTTTATAACTTAAAATAGGAAACTGCTTCCTAGTACATGTTGCTCATGTCTGTCTGGCCTTTTTGCAATTTTTTTTTTTTCCCAATTCTTCTAAGAAAATGCTTACAAAGATTTACTAACTAAACATAAGATGTTAGGAGCCTTTAAGACTTGCAGAATTCTATTCCCTGTCCCTTACAATAATAAGCATAGCATGCTGCTAGAACTCAGTGTAGCGTGTAGGATTATAGTTGTCTTTGCTGATAAAAATCCAGGAGGACTGATGCAACTTATTTCTGTTACGTGCAAATGTTTGACTATTTTTGCTTCTCAAATGGTCATGCAGACTCCTACCTTTTGCTCAAAATTTTGCTCTGCTATACTGTAGGGCCAAGTACGTGAGCAGGCCATGTATGCTGTCTTAGTTGAGTAGATCTAACGTGTAAAAACAATTTGATCACCTGCTTGTGCACATGTGTATCATGTGTCTGTGAGGAAGCTGCAGTATGCCTACAATTCAAAAGCGATCAATTTTTAACCATAACATCTATTTTGGTGTTCTGCAGGGTTCACTGAGGCCTACAGATGTACACTTTTAACTACTGAGGGTTACTCTTGTTCATCTGAACTACTAATAAAGCTTAATTCCCTTTGATTGACATTGATTCCATGGCTCTAAAAGCTACTTCATTATTGTGTACACATGCCTATTCCCTGGCAAATAGCTCTTTCTGTCTTTTCTAGAAAGACAAAGCACTGATGTTTCTGATTATTTTTTTTTTTTTCCCCCAAGATTCTTACGGTATTGCTTATTCAGATTAACAACAAAATAGAGTATATAGAATGCCCTGCAGATCGTCATTTGCTTGTTGAATTAGCAATTTGTCTCTTAGCTTCCTTGTGGAAAAAAAAGAAGGGACGTGATTTCTTGACAGTAGTGGTGGGGGCACTCAGTGGGGTGCTATGTGTGGAGGGATTGGGGGAAGTCCAAAGGCAGTCCTTGTTGCACGCTCCTCCTCAAAACTCTTGAATATTGAATAACCATTTAACCAACCTCTGGTACAGTAGTTAAGCTGCTTTTTTTTTCAGTGGTAGAAGATAGGGCTTGGAATCTCTTCTATTAGAAATGATTTAACACAGGTCTTCAACAACTTGAGTGCCAGTTGAGAACTGCTTTCATTACTTTTTCCCCTTCTAGGTTTTCTTATACAAATATTTATCTGAGTAGGCATTACTGTATTAGTATCTGCCAAAAACGGTTATGGCATCCAAATACCAATCCTGTTTAAACCCACTTTGATATTTTCCAAACAGCTTAATGTCAAACTGAGACAGAAGCTTGCAGGATGTGGACTGGTGCCTTGTGTTATTTTTAACCATGCTTGGAGTGCCTGTTTTTCTAGATAGAAGCATGTTTGTGTGTATGTCCTGAACAAACTAATAAGCAAATAAGTCTTGAAAAGCTTCTAAATGAACTTGAAACAAAAAGTGATTATTACTGTCTTGCTTGAGACTGACTGCTTCTTTCTGGCTGAAGAGCCTAAGAACAAGACAATGCTAACATCCTGGTGCAGGTGGCTTGCTTGAACTGGTAGAGTTGAGAGGTGTCAAAATTAAATGACTAATGGTTTTACTTTTTGCAGGTTCCCTTTTTGTCTCCTTTGGAGGGTCATATATATCTAAAGCTGAAATGCCAAGTGGACTCTTCTGTGGAGGAGAAAGGATTCTTGGTAAGGCATTCACTTCAAATTCCTTCCTTGGAAATCACAGGTCCTATTAAAGGTAGTCACTTTAACTTCACACATGTATTTGTAGTGATTGTGAAGCTTAAAACTGGCTTGATTTCCCACCCACTCCCCCAAACCAGACCTCAAAACTTTCCTAGTTTATCTCCTAAACATGCCTAAAATAAAGCTATTTTTAGGACTTTGTATATCTTTTTTCTTCTAAACACTGTTCATTTGTTATTCTGAACTTCAGTTAACCTTCTCTTGCTATAATCTGTGATGTGAGATGAGATTCTAATTTCTCTGCCAGAAACTTTTTTGTCTTGTAAAAACAAATTCTACCTAGCAAAAGATGTTTTTTTTTTTTGAGAAACATCTTGAGCAGTTCTCTCTCTAAAACTGGACTTGGAAAAGGCAGCTGATATTTGGCCCTGATAGATGGAGCTGTTGAGATTATGTCCAGCAGATGGCACTAAATGTGCGATGAAAATACTTCAGCGAAACACTAATGTTTGCTGATATTTTAGTGTTTTCGAAATCAGAATCTTAGACTCTTTACAAGCAGTTCTTTCTGTCTCTTTTCCCTTTACTTAATTGAACAGATTTCATTAGATGCAAACATTTCATATGCTTATGGTATTTGCTATCCCATGTTTTTGTGTACTAATTTAAGAAAGTCCTTGTTTACTTCTGCTATACAATATGTAAAACCTGAAGAATGGTGTACATCCATATTAAATTTTTTCAGAGTAAGGGTTTGGAAACTCCCTGCACTATTAAAAATTATAATCTGAATCTGAAGAGTGGAAAATGTAGCACCACCGCAAAAACACAACACACAGAAATTAATTGGAAAAAATAGTTCTGTAGAAGTTCAGGAGGGATCAGGAATAGAAGGCAGATACTAAACTTTTCATTCCAGTACTAAGGAAGTGGGGCTTGAAATTGGCATAATCCTGCATCCAGTGAAATAACTGCCAACACAAATATTTAAAAATCGATTTCTAATCAAACATTTTGTAATCCTGAATTGTAAGTCAAAGATGACTTAAATACCTAATCATAATAAATTATGTGATACTAATACATGTTTTGTGAACCATTCATCTTGTATCTGCTATAAGTAACCCTCCATTATCTTGGACTAATGGGAATGCTTTCCCCTGTCAACATGAAAATCTGGTAATTTGAAATAGCAGTGATAAGTGCATTTTGAGCAAAAGGCTGCAAGCTTGAGAATGATAGCGTAAGCCCATTTTCTATGCTATTTGGAAAATAAATATACTGTACTAATAGAAGTCTCTCCCAGAATATATTTTCTCCTTCTCTTATGTTTACTCCTGTGAAGGGTTGTACTTGCAGAACCGTTCTGGTAGAGTATAGACCAAGCTCAAGGTATAATGTTACCTCCCCCCCTTTTTTTTTTTAATTTTTTTTTTTTAAGACTATGTTCGAAGATGTTAGTGGATTCGGAGCATGGCATAGGCGCTGGTGTGTGCTGTCTGGAAATTGTATATCGTACTGGACATACCCAGATGATGAAAAACGAAAGGTAATGGTGTTTTATAATGCTCAAGTCTAAAGTTCTGTAGTACCTGACACAACTAGCTGTTCATTTTCAATGACAGTAATGTTTAGGCTTCAAACAGGTAAGTATATTCAAAGCGTGAGATTTAAGCTCATAAAGTTTCCGTGGGGAATGGAGGGGACTGTTCTTCATAAATCTGACCTAAATCAGGGCAAACTTAGAAACTGACCACTTTATCTGATGGGAAAGGGAAAAAGTGGAGGAAGATCCATATTTAATTTCCCCTTTAGTCTTAAGGCTTTCCATTGCGCTTGTCAAATGACTAATTATTTAACTGAAATTGATCAGATTTGTACAGCTTAATAAGCAGACTGTATCTAGTTGCCTTAAGTTTTAGACAAAGTAATGACTTTAACACTTAATATGGTAAAGAATTAGAGTGGGCACTCCTTCTATATTGCAGAATCACAGCTATAATTATGGATTATCTTATTTGCACTCATTGTTTTCTTGCAGCTCCACATTATAGCTGAAACTGGTGCTTTTTAAATGGTTCTCATGGAAACCTAAGTTATTGTCTGGCTAATGAGACAAATCAGAAGTTCATCTGTCACTGAGGTGAACCTTCTTGTCTCTTGGCCTGTTCTTGCAGTGTGTACTGAAATATTTCCAGGTCCTTTTAAAGACTCCTTTCAAGAGTGTTTTTCTGACTCACTTAAGCAATTTACCATTAAACACTTGCTTGTTTGTTGGCAGAACACTTTCTTTCGCAAACTCTGTGGCAAACTCTGGTCCTTTTGGGTCTTCTATGCCAATCCAGATGCCTGAGTTTAGTTTCTTCCCTGCTAACAGAGGAAGACCATATGCTGATAGTTGACATTGCCAAAATATATCAATGTACTTTCTTTCCCTGCCAGGAGAGAGGGGAAAAATCTCTGCCTACTGTAATAGAAGATAGGGAGGAAAAAAAAATTGAGTTAAGCAAGAAAAAGCTTCCTATTCTGCTTTTGCCTGCAAGAAAGCAGCTTTGGTTTCTTTTCCAGATTTTGTTCTTAAAAATCTTCTAGACTTGTTTCACTATCACTCTAAGAAAGGGTCAGCTATATTCTTTTGATATACTATCATCTACAGCAATATTAAACTCTATCCTTATTGAATACCTCCCCTTACCCACACTGTATCTGTTCTACCACACAGAGATAGATGTAGCTCAGAAATATCAGTATTGGGCAATGATTGCTTTAAATTGTGCAATGCTTTTTTTTTTAAAATAAATTTCCCATGGCTGTACATATATCACCAACATGCAACCTGTTTCTTAACGTTCCTTGGAATGGAGCTATCCTTTTTCCTGTAACTTAGGTTATTTTAACTATCTATGGAATAGTATAGTGAACATGCCCAATAAACAGCAAACTCTTCTCCAAGCCAAGAGCAGTTTGTGATGTTTCCCTGATGAGGTATTCTGTAGGTGTGAAGAATCAGAGCTGAGGTCTGTAACTAATTTCAGGCATACAGCTGAGCCTCTGCCTATAGTCAGC